CAACGTTCGTTGTCTTCTTTGACTGCCGTGGGAATAGAGTCATTGCCCGCCAGCGCGAGTCGTTGACGTTAAGAATCATGGGACAGGCTGTTCGTAAAGCGATATACCTTCGGGCTCTAGGTGAGACGGTAAGCGGCCGATGACCAAGTCAAACCACATGAAGTGCGTGACATCCAAACGGTACAATACTATCTACTCCTTGTCATTAAGCTCAACAGCGCAAAAGTACCGTTGGGATTGTCGGAGTACAATACGTTGTGCTGTTAACGTACAGTAATCTTGGGCACCGTATACAGCTGTTTGCGACATTGGTTGCCTGTCATTTACGCAGTAGACACTTTTGATAAGTTCGGGAGCAGGAATATCACCCCACACAGTGTATTTCAACTATATCCCACATTGCAATAGGGATTGAGCATGGGTTGAGTGCATGCCTCGATTACATAGTATGCTATGTCCAGGTCTGACAAAACGTCAGACCTTGGCCGACTACTCCTGAGTCATGGCCCCTCGTTTCAGCCACGACTTCCTCTTATTGGGCTAGCCTGGCCGGTTATTATGATACGGTTCGGCTATGCTTTCATTCCTCAGATCAATAGGACGCATAGTAGCGGTGTCAGCTTATTCGCTAAGCAACAATATCCGCTGTTGGAACACCTATATGCCTATTTACTAGGCGCCATACATAGCCGAACAGTACAAAGGTACCTGTAAAGTATGTAACGGCCAATACGAATTGTGTTCGTGCGCCTGTGTTATCTAAAGGCTGTTGGTGAGTAGGACACCGACTTTCCGAATAGCTGTACAGACCGCCCGGAGCCGAATATGGATTCCTTGAGGTAGACCGCAAGGCAGCTCGCTAGTCCCACTATTGTATGTCATCCTGTCTCCTCGTTTTCAATGTACATTGAAGGATCCAGCCATTACTAGACGTCTGAAGAGGCCTGTTGCAGCACGTTGCAGCTTTCCACACTTTGGAAATGCATGAAAAAAAGAGATAGAATGTACACAGTATTGTGCTTCTCGTACTGAGCACGCCGTCATAGGCCTTGAGTGCTATCGGTGGCAAGGTGGGGTCGTCAGCGATGGTTTAGTCGCGATGGCCTCCAGCTTTGTTCTGGATCGAGTCACCTATTTTCGGCCTTCACATTATTACAATTAAGCCCAGACCAGGACACGCCCAGGACGTCCATTGACAACGGCGAACAGGCTCTGACGGCCTAAGGACACTACTCTGGAGGACTCTTGCGTAAATACACACAAAGCCCCAAGCTAGTCAACAGGGATGCGTTTCCGTACGTTTACGAGCGGTGCCAGCTTCTGCTTGGAGACTTAGCTGCACGACGCGCTGAGCTGAAACACGTTGTCGACATGACTGCCATAGAGAATCACAATTTATCAGATGATTTTGAAGCGATGCACATTAGGGAATGCATTTGGGAGATGCACTTGGGGGATGACATTCCGGGGCTGCGCTTTGGGAGATGCATTTAGGGAATGCGCTTTGGGGGATGCATTTGGGAGATGCGCTTTGGGAGATGCATTTGGGGGATGACATTCTAGGGCAGCGCTTTGAGGGATACAATAACCATGTTGACCAGTATCACCACATCACTGCCGTTCTTAACATTTTCCAATACGAATACTCGAAGTCCAGTGCTTTTGTGACAAATGTTTGCCTTAGGCATTAAGGGGTCAAAACGACGGAAATAGCAACACAAGGCAGCATGTCTTCCTTGAGGGATACCAATACGGCACCATCGACCAATCGGCGGCGCTTAGCAGGCAGGCTGAAGTCTCTGTGATTGGATGAACCTAAGCGCCGTGAGGAATCAGGCAGACAAGGGAACGAGTGAGCCATCACTGGCATGGAGGTTGATCTGCACTCAGCCTTCTATTTATTGTCTCTGTCTCCCAGAGGCGGCATCAGACCCTTCCCGTTCATGTACGAAAATTCGTGCCTACCTCTTGTGCGCAACGCTCGTGGTTTGCAAAACCACCGTAGCCATGCCGTCAAAGAAGGAATGCGACGAGCTGAAAGACGGTTTGGATATGCTTCCCGTCCTTCTCAAGCGAGTTCAGGCAATCCTGGATTTCCTGCACCACTCATCAAACGGCCGCTCGCTTCTGTCGGATTCTCCAGTACAAAACACTATTTTCTGCTCCCTATCCAGAGTCAAAAGCGAAGTCAAGTTTCTTGACGATACCATTCGGCGACATCTCCACTGCTTCAGTCAGCCTGGTCGATTGTTGAGCGTCAGTCCAGTCTATGAACCCTCATCGACACAAAATTCTTCTCTAGGTCCCAACGCTGGCAAGCTTGTTGAGGCGCAAGCATGCGTCCTGTCCGTTCGCTTACCGTCTACTTCCTTCATCGTGACCTGCAGGGAAGCAGCGTTTAGTACACCTCTGAATTCGACATCGCTCGCAGAGACCAATGCAAGTCTGACCGGAGTCGATCGTGCCACTGTTAGAGGATGCCGAGCCGACCCGGCATCCCGTAATATGTGTTTCGTTGATTTAACAACAGAGCACAGCCCCAGGTATGGGGCCGAACCGAATGCAGCGTCTTTTATCGACGTCGGCCCCGATCACAACCCCGACCCTGCCACCGAACCGAGAACCAGCCATGGGTCTTTCTCGAGGTCCATCGTGAAATTGATTGATAAAGCAGTCGAGCATGTCCACGTTGGTTGGCTGTCATGTCGCGACCAAGCTCATTTCAGACAAAGGCTGGATCAATTTTGTCCAGGACGGTATGTTGATGACATCCTTTTTCTTGCCATTCTTCAATCAGTTTGTGGCTATTCTACACTTCAAACCATAGACCCGTTGCTTGTGCGGTTCTCTGAGCCGTTCTTGCCCTCGGGAGCCTCTGCGTTCGCCAAAGGGTTTGACGGTATGGTACTGCCAATCAACGTCAACGCGGCAGATCAGATGTCAGATCACAATAAAATCCACTGGATACTCGCAATCGTCAACTGGAAAACAGAAACATTCGACGCCTTTGGAATGCAACCAACTGCTTTTTCTCGATGGAGCATAAGGATCGATGAATATGTCTCGGAACTTCGCGGCGCTGTCATCCAACTGGACAAAAGATCTCACGAAGTAGGTATCGCTCAGGTCATCATTGAAGTGTCATGTTTTCACTCACATCAACCAGCTGGGACCATACTGGGAGGACTCATGCTGCGCTTTCCTCTGCGCTTACGCTTTTGAACGGTATTTGGGTCGAGCACCTCATCGTCAGGAACGATGGCCCACGGGTCCTGCCTTGAGAAAGCATTACCTGCGCAAACTACTCAATCAATGGGAGCTGCCCGCCGGCCGTCGTACCAAAGGGCCGCGGCATTCGGAACTTGGTGGCGGACCAAGCTCTGGATGACTGCGGATTCGTTGGCAAACATGCGCTGCGTTAAAAGGAGCCGCCGTGACATCTGCAACGTACATAGAGACTCCCCGAACTTGAAACCAGCAGTAGTCAGCTTCAGGGTGGCTGGGAGGGGCACGCAAGGGAGCCGAGAGACAATCCGCAGCTAGCCAATCAAAACTGTCGGCGGAGTTGCTCTGGAACATGTACGGACGCACCAAAGTCGTCGACATCGCAGGAAATGTTTCACTAGCCGCCCACCTTTCCGCTTTTCTCCGATGTGAAAGAAGGCCGCAAATTTTGGCTTTCCAAGGATGGCTTTGGGGTTTCCGGAGACTAGAATCTGCTTGTTGATTTTGATACTACCTCTGAGTGAGACTGCAGTTTTGAAACAGACTAGACCAGTATTGGCAGGGTGTGTTCATAGAAGCGGGTCGCATGCTACCAAGCCGTGGCAACGGTTCCGTACTTTCGTCATGTCCGATCGACAAAGTTGTCCTGTGACACAAGATGCGGCTCAGGTCACCCGCCGTACATATATGACAAATGCTCCTCAACTTATCAAACCCAAGCGGACAGTTTTCCCTCATCGGGGGACAGCAAGCTACAACACAGAAAATACTTGCCATACTTGGTCAGCGTCTCCAAAGACGTGAGGCAGGAAGAGTCCTGTGAAACGAGCCGGAGGAGGTGATAGAGTACGCTTCTAGCTTTTGAGCGTACGGTTGCTTCAGCAATGAGTAGACTCAGTCGAGCCATGTGTACAATTTTCCTGTTTACAACAGAGCATCGAACAATACTTCTCAGCGAAACACAGTACAACTGTGATAATACGTTGATTCTCTTTTTACACACACTCTCATTAGTTTAGAGAGTCAAAAACTGCTGTGATGGGTCTCTTCACACATCTAATGAAGCTTGTTGCTAGCCTATGCTGTGCGCTGTATTCATCGGTGTTACCAGGCATGCAATGCTTCCCTACAACTCCGATAGACTCCGCGGTTGTTGAGCAAGCTCTTTCCCGTTCGCCTGGCCGCGTCTCAAAACATATCCGTACATAGGCGATGACATAGCTAGACTACATTCTCGAATAGTACAGCGCTGGACGCTTATTGTAGTAAGAATTTTTCAAGTAGCATCGCAAGACTGCGTTGAAACCCAGCTGTGCCTTTGTGACATGAGGCTCGTGACGGAGGCCATCGAGAAACACTTTGGTAGGTGCTTGAAATGCCAGGTTGATTACGCTTTGCCGGCCGGGGTTGCAACCGGTGGATGACATCGCGCATAAATTACCGCATGGCTAAGACTAGACCAGACAGTGTAGAAAGAGACTGCCAGCAAATGGTGCATCGATCTTAGGGATGTACTTCCCTAGCGATGACAGTACAGTAATGTGCACATGTCACTTCCTCTTTTGCAAACATTAACAATGTTTGAGAAGCTGAAAGTTGCTGTGATGGACCCCTGTAAACCTCTGGTAATGGCTGTGGCGACTTGTTTGCAAGCAAAATGTGGGATCGGGATCATTAGATACAGTGCGAGTAACAGCACGTATTCAAGAGCTACTTGAAAGTATCCATAACCGGCTTCCACAGCTGCCATTCTCCCACTGTCAACCATGCTGATGTGTACACAGTGAGGCTGACTTTCGGCGCAGCCTGTGTGGGTCAAGTTCAGAAAGATGAAGTGCGTTGCCAAGAGGAAGCAACATATGATCAATACTGTACTTCATCCTGCCAATAACAACTAAGCTGACAAGGACTTGATTGTAGTATCATTCACTTTCAGCTTCCCGCTGTAGAAATCAAACTTGGTTTCCGTCTTGGCAGATGGGAATAATTCTGTGCACAGGCATATGTGGACCTCTTTGCTGACAGAATACATACTGAGACCCATCGAGTACATTCATCGATGGCCTCCACAGTAAAGCCAGAATCGCTTCTCTACTACGTTCTTATTTTAGACCCATCTTGCATACTGTAGAGACTGCACTTGCCATCGCCGTTTGTGGAGATTGGATTATGCGACATGGGTCTAATCCACGAACACAGTGTAGAAGCAACTTCTGACTTCGACTATGGTGGTCATCAAGAAAGTATCGTCGGGGCCTTGTCATGTACCCTGTCAGCAAGCGGATCCATAACCATCTGTGCACAGAATAAATCCTATTTGTAAAAGACGGAAACCAGATTTGATTTCTACATACTGTACGTTCAAAATGCATGTCCTCTTCAAGTGAGCTCTCTTGGATCTGCGAGCGCGCGGACTCAGTGTGACAGGTACTGGCAGGGGATCCAGGTTGATTACTCCAGAAATGGCTTACACCAGAACGGATGAACATCGTGGCCTCCCCGTTAAGAGTACTGTATGGTTCTTATTCATTTTTTGTTTCTTCAAATTCGCACTCAAATGGCCGATACACTCTTGTGCGTGTCAGCCATGTAAAGCTATGACCGGCCTCACACCCGTCTCACAAGGCTGCTATGAATATGTCACAAAGCAAGCCTAAGGGCACAAGCTTCCTAGGCTGTTGCTCTTAAATGATACGTCATTGAGCTCTGGCTTTGCTTCACCTAAGCCGTACGTAACAAGGGACCAAACCGATCCTAACCAACAGTTTCTCATGGTCTACCCTGAGAATGAATCACCATAGACTACTCGCTTGTCAGTCCAACAGGATGACCCGCAAGCTTGCGCGAGCTTACTGCTTGAGAGAGAGTGCTTGTCGAAAGATGCGCCCAGCCGTTCACTGACCCGCTAGAATGTCGGTATCGGACGGGGTCAAGTACCACGTTCATGTTTGTTGGGCGTGGACATACGCAGGTCATTCGTGGAAGCCGTTGATCCGCTTAGTATGGCGCTAGTAGCAACCTACCTACCTATTGGCGAAACGGACATTTCTGGCTCCACGTATCCCAGCCCGGCACTCTGGTTGGCCGACCTTGCGGCGGGCTGCAATTTAGGAAAAGGACCGTGCCTATTTCCCCTTCTTCCGGTTGGTAACAATGCAGATATCCGGACCCTTCTAGCTGGTGAGCTCAGTTGGAATCGACGCGCCGATGCGGCCTGGAAGAACAAGGCGCTGTTGGTCTGCAACTCAGTGTAAGAATCCCAAGCAGGAAGGGCTTATGAACTGTGTCTCCCGTTGGTCCATGCCACAGAACGGCTATAAAAGACTCTTCTACGCGACTCTCTCTACTTGCGTGACCTTTTCATATGCGTTCATCTCCAAGAACCCTAACCTGAATACATCAAGTACGTTTGATGAGAAACTGCGACTGGCTAATGGGCAGCTAATGATGTAGAATGTGCACTAGCATAACCACCAAGACCTCCTACACGGGTTGCCCCGAAACGTGTAACACATCCAGCACTTTTCTAGCGAAGTATCCTGCCGCAATCAGTTCGGGTACAACTTGTTCGAACCCAACGTCATCTACCACCGGCAAGACAACGTCCAGAGTCCAGTGTCCCCGACATCGAGACGAGGGTTATAGTCAGCGATGAGCCCCGGCTCAAAAATAGTCGAACGGATCATTTCTCGTTCAACGAGATTATTAAAGAGACGAACAATTACTGAAATAGCTGGTTTCGCATTCAAATACACGAAACTTCTCCACTTATTGCGCGGCTGGCGAAGTTTGGAATATCTTAATGCTGGGCTCGATTCCCATCGTTATCCTGCACATATCGGTAGTACCACCAACCATTCACTTGTATCGAGCAGCAGTTAGAAAGGCAGGGGTCATTCTGTGTATATTGATGAGTATATCGAACGAATGGCTATGGGAAGAAACCCCATATCTATATAATGAGTGTATGACCCCCTTGTATAAGGTTACCCTTGCTAGCCTTATTCATACTTCTGGTTAAGCATGAGTCAGGTCGCTTGAGGCGAAACAAGTACCGTAACGAATGTCCTGGGGCAGTCTGACAACTTGATATGCACATCAATATACACCAATGACCCCTAATGGCGGATGTTCCTAAACTGCACCTTGGGCTTTGTCAACGAGGCCATGAATGCTTATTCCAGCGGAAGCGTAATGGTTATTGTACAGATACCATTTCTTCTAGTCTTCTAAATACTACAGTCTCATCTGAACAAAACGTTTTAAACATGGAAGCGTCGCCTAGACTGAGTTGGGTTGACGGCTTAGTGCCACCTGTATGGTAGCTGAGCCTCCCGCCTCCCCGCCCCACACAAGCGCCTCCCGCTGCGGGGAACGCTGCTTCACCGCCTCCAACCGAGAGATGCCCACGAAGGAACCGCACCCACATAAACCCTCTTGATCCTCTGTTTTTCCACCTAAGTCATTGTAAACAGGCAAACCTCACTTCTCAAGTCCTTGCCCAAGAATGTTCGACAGCCATACCAGGACGAGCTTGGCTGACCATACAAGCGATGGTCACGACGAAGAAATCCCTTCCTTGAATCAAAAGGGCGAATTTGTTGCGATAGGCTCAACATCCTATGTTGAGCGTTTGCCTGACGGCACCATCATCAAGACGGCCTGGCCTAGCGGCGACCGCGCCCACCAGCGACGTCGCGAAATCGCTACAGAGGCTGAGATATACGATCGACTTGGTGAACATCCTTGCTTAGTGAAAAAGAAGGCTTGGAATTCAGACGAATACACCTTGGCCTTGGAAGACATGCCCAACGGAACCCTCAAAGACTTTCTCGAGTCCCACAAAGACGTGTCTGCTGAACAGCGACAGCAATGGGTAATTGAGGCTGTTGAGTCCGTCAAGCTTCTGCATAGTTTCACTGTTCTTCATTGCGATATTGGGCCGCATAATTTCCTCCTGGATGACCGCCTGCGTCTCAAAATTATCGACTTTTCTGGATCAGCCGTCGACGGCTCCCATACTGAGATCAGCCCTGGCACTCGATACGCAGCCCCTTCACTGGACCGCTCCTTGCAACGGAGCCCAACAGTCAAAAGCGACCTCTTCAGTCTAGGATCAACGATTTACTACATAATGATGGGCAAAGCTCCATTTCAGGAGTTCCAGAGTGAGGAGGTTCGGGAGATGTACAGCAACCAAGAATTTCCAGACTTGACTGGTGTACCTAATGCAGGACTTATCCAAGGCTGCTGGTCCCAGAATTTCGATTCCGTAGATAACCTGCTTTGTTTCTTGGATATCTGACCGAAAGAATAAGACTTCGTATGTTACAAACTCAATGGGCGTAGAGCTGGACGGATTGTGTAATCTAGAGGTGCTGTACTTTGGGCAGTCGGCAGTAAAGTGAATCTGGAAGGCGGTATAGGCCATAACAGTAGTTCTTGCACTTATATCCAGTTGGTTGGGCTTAGACCCAGAAAGAATTTGGAGACAAATCTTATTTCCATTCCAGATCTATGAAATAATTGTCACGGATATCTCAAATAAGTTATCCCACGGTCAGTCACTTTGAACCCAGGAATCACAACGCCTAAGTGTTCCAGCCTTTCTGGTTCTGAGCAACCATCCTTCCGCATCGGTCAAGGCGCTCGACGGCGATCCCCTATTTGCAAGAAGAAACGACAGAATATCAGCGGGGCTGAATTGCAACTCCGGCACGACACTTGCAAATTTAACTGCCAGCTGTCGTACACCAGCGTTATTCTTGTCTCGGGTCTCTGCATCAGGCATCTCCTTTTCTGAGTATTCGAAAACAGTACAGAACAGCTGCCGAATCACCTCCGCATCGGCGAGTCCGAACTCGATTTTCTTGTCGACGCGGCCAGGTCGTATCAGAGCGTCGTCCAAGTGCTCAATGTGGTTCGTTGTCATAATAAGAACACGGCCATCCTGCGAAGCCACGCCATCAAGGACGTTAAGTAATCCAGACAATGAAAGAGGTCCATGAGGCTTTGGTGGGCTTTGTGACATATCTGTGCCCAAATCAGATTTATCGTTATCGGCATCGCGAGCTCGTGTTGTGCCAACTGCGTCAACGTCCTCAAGCAAAACGACGCAGCGCCGGGGAAGGTCGGCGAACAAGGCCTTAAGCCTCATATCGTCGATGTCGGCAAGACTAACGACATAGATATCGAGACCGAAGCACCCGGCAACCGACATGCTGAAGCTCGACTTTCCGGTTCCTGGGCGGCCGTACAGCAGGTAGCCTCTCCGGTATGGCTGCCCGCGATCGGCGTACCAGGAAGGAGTGTTGGAGTCGAGGAAGTCGCGAATGTCGTCCAGGAGCGTTTGCTTCAACTCTTCCTTCATAATGACGGTTTGGATCGGCCTGATTTCTCGGGTCATGATTCTTTTCCAGCCGTTGTTGTGATGCTCGAAAATTGAAGTCTTTTTTTCTGACATCTTCAGGTATTCAAGGCGGCATTCACCCATGAGGTTTCGTAGGACTTGGGAGGAACCGCCAACACAAGAAACAGTCATTGTCTTGCGAGGAAATAGTGCCACCTCGTTTTGCGTGCATTGCAGATAGAGCAGATGCCCTCTGTGCCAAAAATACACTCGTTCTTTCCACGGGGTAAATCGGAGGGGCTTCTTGGTCGTCATGTCGCAGTCTGGATGAAGCAAGGCACGTCCTCGCCTGCTGTCAACGCTGGCAAGAGATGAACGGGCCTTTTTGGCAAAGTCTTGGGAAGAGACCCAGTATTCGAGCATATCGTACATCTCGTCAGGATCGTGGACGTCGGTTCTAGATGCTGAGGGATTTTAATACTGTGCTGAAGCATTGGAAAGGAAGGACCACCAACTTAAGTAAGCATCTACGAAGCCTCCCACGGTGTTACATATGAACTTGCCACCAAAAATGAGCAGTCCGCAGACGCACAACGTCATGGCAAAGCTATCCAAAGTGCCGTTGAAAAGCTGGTTCAGCGCCGTCATGCCGCCAGCGAAGCCAGGGAAGAAGATGTCCATTACGGAGACCTGGGTAGCACTTGGATGGTGCATAGTGTCGATTTGAGAAGTGTCGAATGAAATGTGGGTAGTGATCAATGAATCAAGGGGGATGATAGTTCAGGATTAACTTATTGGCCGATTTTGAAGAGTAGTATAGCAAAAATAAGAGCTGTGTATAGAGTTGTGATTCAGAGAGTACTGTTGTACGGGCGTTCACCAGCAGAACTGGGCAAACGGCCGGTTTTATATATTTTGAGCTCTGCCTTGAGAACCCATGGCATACCTCACTTCGAATCAGCTGCAGGTCTAATCAGAGGACTCGATGCAGCTAGCTGCCGTTGGGTCTGGCCACAGCATGTTGAAGGAGGCGTCATGCTAACCCCCTTCTATCAGGCAAGAGCTGGTCTCATCGGGAGCGTTCTCAGTTAGGGCCATAGCTTTCACTGAGATGAAAGTTGACCTACATCCCGAGACAGTATGCTTGGCATCCTGGCTTCGCTCGTCCGTCGTTGGGGCTCGTCGGGGATCTGTCCATGGATCTAGCTATGCCCGCTGTCCTGGTCGACGCAGCCTCGGGCATATTCTCGCAATTGGGCTTTCCTGGCTATGCTAATGCAGTCCGGCCTGGAGTATTTCTCTGAGGCCTAGCTTTTGGGATGCCACCTTGCACTTCGTATGTTGCGTTTTCATGCAGCTACAAATGTCTCTAGAGTGTTAGGCTTCTATCGCGTTGTGAGGACCTCCCGCTAGTGAATGGATTGCGGATGAATGGAAGGAGGATGGATGGTAGGAGGATGGATGGTAGGAGGATGGATGGTAGGATGACGAATGGTAGGTGGATGAATGGTGGGTAGGTGGATAGATGGATGGAAGTATGGATGAATGGTCAGGAACCTGACGCCGAACGATGTGGGGTAACTTCGGGCCTATGTAAGCCCGTGATCATGACTGGGTCTTCGCGACATGATCAGGCGCCAACGCGGGGTGACCTGATCACAAATCTATTGCCCCTCAAGAAAGGTTTGGACAAAATGCTTGCGCGCTGACATTTTGAGGTAAGCCCTGTCAAATACTTCTACCGCTTTATCTAACATATTTTCTTCGGCAGAGATCCTTCAAGCTCCCCTCTCTGATTGCTACCGCGACCGAACTCGAGATCCTACGCGACATCCAACGCGAAACCTTACACCATATCTGACGAGAGAACCGAATACCAAGCCGGTGCAAGACCCGACCCGAAAGCGGCGACAGATCTGCTTAACCCCAAACCGGTCGATGGAATGAGAAAGATTCGCACAAAGACTTCGTCAGACCACAAGCTCGTCAAGAAGTGCGAGGAGGAGGTATGGGCACCCAGGACTGCAATGTGATTTACGCTCACTTCAGAATAGACTGGACATAAGTGTTCGAATCCCAGATGGCAGGACTTCAACGACTTGGCCCGGTATGTGCCAGGCCCGGATACGGCTTTTTTACTAGTAGACATGCACCTCAAGTCTGGTGAAGGAAAAGCTGTTTACATTCACGATTCCAACGACGAGCAAGTAGATATGGTTGGCATGGAGTACAAGGGGTTTACTGTCATAATTCCATGGGAGGCTGGACTCAAATTCGTTTGTTACGGACCATGTAGAGTCGCCGAAGTTGTGGTAACCGAAGTGAGTTCTACATGAGTCGCTTCTGACTGTGCGTTAAGTACATTGCTGCCTTGCCTGAAACTGGGAACATGATAAATGGAGAGACTCCTTCGATGAAAGGAACCGTTAGTGTACCTTCACTTTCCATATTAAACTCGGGATGCGAGAGTGCATGGATCACATCTTTTGCCGTCGCCCTGTATACCCTTTGTAGCTCATCTAGACAAGAGTCATTAAGATTTTTCGTCTATCAGAAGGATGCTGGACGTCATACCATCTTGTGATTGGAATGTATCGACGGAATTGATCGGATCGACTGGTGCTGAAGTTGGGAGATCCTCTTCGTCGTCACTGTCATCACTCTCGGCACATCGTGCGATGGTTTTGCCACCAACTTGATGGTCTGGTTCCACCTCGCGCCTAGCAGTCTCGATCTCGGGTCTGTGAAAGGCCTTACGAGTTCTAGTGGCCAGCTGAGAAGCCACAATGCTCCGGGCATTGATGTAAAGGTCCTGATAAGTCATGCCGCACTCATTCCGTACTTCTGACGATGCTCGGTCCCTGGTGTAGAACTCGCTGCCGGGCCGCGAGGTACGGTCATTCATTCCGCCTGGCTCAGAGTGTTCGGCCACTCTTCCGACTGACATCAGGTCCTTAGGCCCTCCATTTAGCCTGGCTCGTTTGGATGCGTTTCCAGAGTCCTTAGTCGAGCTTTTTTGAGTTGTATGGGGTGTTGACAGAGAACGTTTCCGAAGGGACGTATGAGAGGACCGTTCTTCATTGTTTTGCTTTTCTGCTCGATACCTCTCGACTATCGCTTGGGCTTGTTTTGTAAAAGCAGGTGGAATCTTGCCTTTACCAGGCCATTGCGCTAGAGCGGCGTTGAACTGCTGTCGCTCAGTAGAGAGTGTAGTTATGTTGGATACAAACAAACACAGATAATAGACTGGATCCCCGAATTCCTTTCGTATATTGAAAAGAGATTTCTGAGCTGATTGGTGCCGACTTCTCGTTGGTTGAGCAGCTGTCGCATGGTATGGTGGATTACACAGTAAGATAGCCATACGGTTCAGCCTTCCGCTCAAGTCTTCATCGGAAAATCCGTGCTCATACTGGTCCAGGAAAGTTGTAAGGCTGCTGATATGCCTAGCCATTGTATGGATCTTAAAAAGAGGGAGATGAAGTGCGCAAGCCTGTGCAACACGCTGTAGAACGATGAATAAATAGAGAATGGATGAGCGGGGAATACTCGATACATGGATGAGCAAGGAGCGGACTAGATGTGTTCCTCGGCGTCTAGCCGCTCAACTCCTATTTGCTGGAGGCAAGTGGCGCAAATGAAGAGGCCTGTTTGCCAATCGTCACCTTAGAGACCGTGCTGAAGCTGCGTCACTCCACCAATGGTGTTGTCAAGGTATGTACATAGTATCCACCCGTTCATACATCTCTCGACTATCTATTCATATTCATCCATCCATTCATCTATCTTTCATTATATGAATGCTTTAAAATCGTGCGTCCAGAGACACGATAGACCGCTATATGACTCGTCCGTAGATGGTCCTAATTTTGGCCGAGAACAATTGACGACACATAAGCGGGCTACCAATCTGGAACTGCTCTCGAGTGGGAACAGCGACATGACGGCTGAGAAACATGACCATCACGAATGCTGCAAGTGCATTGGTCTAGCCGCTTTCGAGCGTCAAAAGATCACGTCTATCCTGACGAAGTGTTGCGGTGCATTGCCGATGAGAGACACAAGCAGCACGGCGCGCAAGTACAAGAAATCACCAACAGCTGGCAGATACAGCCCTTCGCACATCACCAGTTTGGTCGCGGGCTCCAAACCCCCTGGCAGAACTCTGCGTTCGTGCACATGCATTGTGGTCATCACATTCGTGCTTAGCACATCTATCCATCCGCTTTACATTTACCATATCTGACTCATCTGTTCATCACACGCCTGCATGCGCCCAGCACGTTTTCTTAGCCAGTCTGTCTATTTTGGGAGCGGATCGTCAAACGGAACATACATTCTTCAGGACGCTCAAATATTTTGAAGTGACTCAAGTGGGATATTGGCCCGGGGAATTTTCCCGTCCTCTTTGAGGCCGCAGCTTCATCGGCCTAGCCATATTCTAGCTGTAAGAAATCATCCAATTTCCGGTACAAGTCGCAGCGCACCGTTCTCAGAAGTCTCTGTTGGTGGCGGAGGCGTCTCCGGACATAGCTGTCCATTAATCCTAACCACCAGACTTGTCATCCTACTCAGACACGCCTCTAATGTCTATAGTGACACCTAACTGACACGCTCTAAAAAGGTCTAGGTTTTTGTGAGCTCACGACAAAGAAGTCGGAGAGACTGTGCACCAGTTACACACGATTTATCACTGATTGGGGTCCAAAATAAAACAACGACGTTCAAGTGTTATGCAACTATTCAAAGAAAGATGCTTACCAGCGGTTTAGAGTGAGTATTGCGCAAGTCGAAAAGAGAGGTAAAAGAACGCTTCCTCACGACGTCTACGGGTTAAAGCATCTGATCCTGTCCATTTTTTGAATAGAGGCTAGGGCGGCGGTAGAAGGGGAAATGACTGAACGAGTGAATGCATGATTGCAGGATGTATGATGCATGGATGACTGTCTGTTTTTCACACTGTGTGGGGGATTCTGTTCATCATGGCCTGGCGGGCTAACTCTCGGCCAACGACAACCCTACCGAGCCTTAGAATAGGTGATGTAAACTACATGGACCACCTTCAATACGAGAAGACGACAATATAAGACCAGAAAGCTTGTCCGTTGCAATCTACAGAGTATTGCGCTTCGGCTCTACTAGCGAAGATATAACCAGCAACATACCGACCTGAGCCTCCTTATCATCTCAATTAAACACTTCAACATGGACGTGCAGCCCATCTATCTCTACAGAACTGTTCGAGTGGCGGTAAGACAGCCTGACGGAACTCTGTTGACAACGGAAGGCGGAGAACAACAAATTCTGTACCTTCAACAAGACGGTATATTCGGCGGTACCGGCCAAGTAGCGATACATCTGATGCAACACGAAATGATGAGCATCCGAGCAGAAATCATCCGCTTCTCTGCCCATTCCGTGTGTAACTACGTTTGGAGGTTGACAACCGATCATTTCAAATTGTAAGAATACCCTTGTGAGTTCCGACTTTGGGGATAGGTCTGACAATGAGCAGACGAGTGAGGTTCACATCTCCATGGCAACCCTTTGCTCAGCTGGCTTTGATCCCGTCCCCAGAAGGGTGCGGGTTAATAGCAACCGCCTCTTTCCCTCGTTCTCCAGGTAAGGTGGCCGTGCGTATGGGTCCGTCAGGCCGGGCGGTCGGCACAGCTACTCGAACCCTTGTCGCCGGCCACGGCTCGCCCATGATTTGTTCAATCAACATCGATATCTCGGAGGACGATATGATCGTGATTTTCCAACCAGACGATCCAACTTTGGCCCCCATACTTTCCCAAATATTCACAAGACCGTCCTTCGGGTGGAATTCGGAGACTATCCAGCCAGATCCCTTCTACACTAACGACTCTCTCAGCATGTCAGACGCAAACAATATGGGCTATGCACCTGAAGCAGAAAACCACACGGGAATCTGCCTCCCGCATTGCAGCAGCGTCATCTCTCCTTCTCAACCAGAAGCCGGCTGGCAAAGTTGTGTTTCACATCAATACCAATTGCCATATGCAGATAAATCTAGTCCAGCTTCTAGATCAACACTCAGCATCGGCTCAGAAGATCAAAACAGTGCACAGTTCACCACCATCAATAGTGCTGGCACTCACCATGATCCTGGTGATGACCGTTGCATCGTTGTCAAACTACTGCCGTAGGCTAATGAGGGGGTTTACAATAGCGGCGGCCAAAGGTGGACGAATTACTGATTGGAAGAAACAACTAGAACGACGATCATTAGTTCGTCTAACACCCCTTGGATATTCAGGATGAGTGTGAGATATGAAGTCCGTTTCTGGCACATGGGTTAAGCTTCCAGTGGTTGCCCTGATGAACCGTTCCAAATGCAAGAGAAGCTATCCAACCAAATGATGCCAGTATTTGTTCCAATGACACTCCAGCTTCGCATGGTCGACTCATTAGACTATAAGTAATTGGTTCTGGCATCACATACTGGCAAAAAGGCGTTCGTCATTTCATTTAGATGGTCAAAAAAGAAAAAAATTCCATATTAGAAGCCCAGAGCAAGGACCGCTTGACCTGGATTGAGGCTCTTCTAACTCTACCAACAGTAAGGGCCATCATCATCAGCGACTAACTGGTGAAGGTTCTGACCGTGATGCAGTCGGGTTACGGAGGGCGGGGGTGATGATGGGTAAAATGCGGGTATCTCAGGGCTTCGCCAAAACGGAGCTATTCAGCATCCAATGGGATGCTCCAGATTACTGAGCTCTTAAATCCTGGCTTTTGCCTCTCCGGTCCCCAATGCGCAGTGTCCGGAATCAGTCCGTAGCGTGGTGACAGTCGCTAAACAAGGCTGCCCCCACCGTATCCTCGTCCTCGAATTAAGGTCGAGCAGTGCCACACTGCTTCATACGGCGCCGAGCATCCGCATCCAGGAGAATGCATTCACCCGAGTGAATGCCTCTGGAAAACATATTCTAGTCCGCGGCTAACTGGTTTTCGCGTGGCACGTCGCATCACAGAGGTTTGACGACAATGCATTGATCGTCAGCACTATTTCCTAGTTTTCGAGCCTAATTATGGTGATAGACTGCGCATCTCGTGGATCGGGGCTTGTCTCAGATGTTGGGTCCGAAGCTGAGAGCAGTATGGGTGAGAACGGTCTTTTGGTCGGTCGAGAGAATGCCAGGTGTAGCACAAGAGCCTGTTCTCAGGCTGGAAAATGGCAAACCAGATATGATCTCTGATATCATCGATCTCGAAAGAGTGAATAAAAGGTGAATCCTGGACTGCGACAAGAGTCTAAGTCGCCCTACCGAGTACTGCACCGGACAGCCCAATCCTCACGTCCACCTTGCTG